CATCTGTTTGTATGGAGTTCATATACACTTAAACAACTAATAATCAACATATATACATTTTAACAGGATCCATGTAATATTTTATTCTACATGTGGCATCGGGTTCTCTTGTGCTGAGGAACAGGATTAAAGACATACTGATCTTCAACATATAAGGACTTTGGCTGCAGTGATGGCGTCACTTCATGTCACTCTGGTCCACCGCGCTGTGGCAAAGAAATGATATAGAATACAAATAAACACAAATACCAGCCAAAATATAAACTTAAATACTCAAAACTTTCAGATTCTACTTGCAGTTTCTATAGCTAGTTATGCACCAGCAACAAGTTACAGTAAGTTTTCATAAGTTCTCAATCAGTCCATACACTTAACCTTTGTACTTTTGAATCCTACTGCTATGAGTTTATGATCAGTCAAAGGTGGGTCATATACTGTTGCCAACTTTGCTTGACATTTTTCCGTCTCTTTTGTTATTCCACTCTGCTCAATTTTAAAGAACCAAGTAGTTCTGTGTAAAAACTCTGGGTACAGTTAAGATTGCCTCACCTGGATGTAATCCATCTCATCTGCTGTTAACGGTCTCCTGCGGTACCTTGCAGGAAGTAGCTGAATAGAGGCCAGTGTGTCTGGCGTGCCTGGGATTGGTGTTAAAGGTGCATGCGGTCTTGATAACTGAGGCGATGCTGCAGCTGAAGTGGGAGCATTATGTTGAGGAAGGTTTAGTGCTAATGTTTTCAATGCCTCCTGGGCTAGAGGACGAAAAGAAAAAGAGTAACGTAATGAAATAATCACCAGGGAAGGCATTGTTAACGATTATATTTCTGATAAATGTGAACCTAAAAGAACACGTTCTTTCAGCTGGGAAAAACAAAGGCTCACCATTAGGTCTGGGCAGGCCTTGTCTGTTGGGGAATTTGATCAGGGGAGTATGAGGCCGTATTGCCTGAGAAAACAAAATCAAACAGTCAGTTAAAGGGTAGGCATCCTGACATGACAACAAATTGACAGTAGTTTTTTTGTCTCCCACACGTGCTAAAACAGAGTGAATGAGCTTTAAAACAAACACAGCTGCTAGAAAAATATGATGAACAACACTAGGGTGAATTAAATTTTTTATTTATGTATGGTATGACTTGTGACAGTATTTTTGTAAAATCAGGCGCTCAACGTTAAGTTAATGTAGCCTTCTAACAGCAGTTGATAGGAATATACCACAAAACATACAACAGAGCAAACATTATACAAAATACAAGTGCATCTAACACAGTGGTTCCCAAAGTGTTTTTTTGCTGGGCCCCCCTTTGTTTTACAAGAAAAATGTTTGCGCCCCCCCCCACAAACATATCCTCCAACCATACACACCCATATTTTGTTTTCAGACTCCATTGCGGTTTATTTCACACCTCAATCAATTTGTAAACAAATAGGCAAATACAAGTAATCTGCAATAAATTACAGGTAGTAATAAAATAATCTCCAAACTCTTACGCTACGTCCACACCTACACTGGTATTTTTGAAAATGCAGCTGTTTCTATGCGTTTGGACCTATTCGTCCACACGTAAACGGTGTTTCGAATCACCGAAAATCTCTGTTTTCGGTGATTCGAAAATCTCCGCCTCTGCCTATGGTGTGATTATTTTACGTGTGGTTGTTTTTTTCCTGTGTAATAATATTCAACATTGCTATCAATACATTTCTCAAAAAATTCCTCTCTGTGCAAAATGGGTTCAAAAACATAAACAACTTTGAGATACTGTTAGTCCGTGATTTGAACCAGGGAAACAAATCGTGGCAGGATCGCTCTAACTTCACTGTATAAAGAGCTAATATCTCCAAAATGTCAGGATTAGTTATTTATTACAAGAAGTGTTTGTGAACTAAAAATCAAGAATGTGGTATGCTGTTTGTCCGTGATTTGAAGAGCCCAGCACGTGCTCCCAACGCAAGGGAAACTAATTCTGTCGCAGAGACCTACCTCGGCACTTGTGCAGGTGAAGCCAAAGGCAGGGCTCTTGGAATGAAATTGGAATGAAGTTGGTTTGGAAACATATTTGGCGATGCTTCATCTCCTGCTTTGCATTTGTGTGGGAGCCCCGTCAAAAACCTGTCAATTATGCTAGCAGTGTCCAAGCGTTCTTTTTTTCTTTTCATACCGCCCCCGTTGGATGTTATGAAGAGGTTTTTCCTCACCGTTAACAAATCATCCACCTCGTCCATACAAGTCAAGACCTTACTCATGTTGCTAACAGTTTATT